AATAAGGAATCGAAATAATTGTTCTTTCTTGCATTCTTGGGATAATGTCGAAAAAATATAACAAATGTATCTACATCTCAACGATATGGAATGAAAAAAAAATCTGCGACTAAGCACATTTGTTTTATAATTAAGACCAACAAAATTCAAAAAATTCTTTCTTCTCTCTTCTCTTCACATAATATCAAATTCTTCCATATTGAAAAGAAAAAAGGTTTCAGAAAGCTGATTGTTCGTGATAATGAGCTAAATAAATCAGCCGAGATATAGTTCTGGCCGGACAACTAGTATACTAACCTATATGTCATGGGTAGGACTTGAATATAAAACAATGAAACACCAGAACCTTATGTGAGATACACTATAATATACACGTTCATGAAACAATATGAGAACTAGAGAAACAGCAAAGCATTAATAATTTTGTTTAATCCAATTTCGAAATCGAATTCACACTTTTCCGCCTTAAAAACTTCGATAATCAATCGCACTTTCTATTAGACTCGGTTCGACGACGATAAAAAATATATCAAACACCTGTACTTCGGGGTAGACGGGTGTTTTTATAGACCCCTCAGGCAACGGAATTTCACTTTCAAATTCAACTGCTGAGAGCTCGTGCATAAAAATTCCAACAAATGGGATTGTGCAGAACGAAAATGAGACGCAGTACTAGGTTATTCACGGTAAATTACTCCTCACTGTAGACATATTCAATTCTCATATATTGATTTTCCAACAATGTTAGCTTGTCAAACGATTTCATGCTGCGAAAGTGGCATATTCACAAGATGGCGTAGACGTATCAAACAATTAGGGAATATTCAATCAATTTTATGGCAAAATTATATGATTTCTAGTTATTCAATTTTCCACAAATGTATGGAGTAAATATTTTATTTACGTCATTCTATTCAGTGGTTCACTTTTGTAAACCGCCTTTCTCAAAACTATTGAGAACTAGCAACCCGTTCCTGCTACGCACGGGTAGCAACTCCTTCCTGGCTTAGCTCAAAAGGTATCGTTACAACCAATTTACCCAAAACTCTAAGGAAATATAAACCTAAACCTTCCTTTCGTATCACTTTTTCCATTGGTGAATCCATACCAAAATTCGTTCTGTAATTTTGGAGTTTATTTCGTTCAGACAGACAGACAGACAAGATAGACATACTCATAAAAGAGAATCAATAATCGTAAATGTACCTCCCTAAAACTGAAATACTCGCTAACATTCTCAACTACGAACTGCATTATGAGAGCAGATAGTTGTTGTTTCACAGATGGATCAAAAACACCTTCAGGTTCTGGTGCAGGTGTTTTCAGTCGCAGACCCAGGACAGAGATTATCAACCTACCTAGGAACCTATGCGTCTGTATTCCTAGCGAAAATTTACGCTATTGAATTGTGTTCGGAGAGAATGGAAGAATCCTACCGAGCAACGTCTAAATTGGTAGTAAGCTGCCAAAAATGGCTCTTCCCGATAGGAAGACTCAACAGATTGTCTCTGGTCTGGATTCCTGGCCATACGGGCCTCGGAGGCAATGAGGCTGCTGACTCTCTTGCGAAGAAGGATGTTGCAAGCAGCTTCAACGGAACCTGTCATTGGCATCGCTTCAGGCTTTGCCAAAGATTGAACACCTGGATGACAAGAAAATTTATGGACTCCTGGCAGAATCTTTCAGGATTGACACTCTCTCCAAGGCGTTTATTCACCCTTCGAAGCTCAATACCAAACAGTTGTTGGACTAAGTAGGGATGAACTAAGATGTCTAAAAGACCTTCTCACAGATCATTTCCATTTGAATCATCCCGCTGGGGACCGAATCAGGTTTTTAGAGTTTGGCTACTCTTATCATCTGACATGAAAGACCACTCACCATACACAGTAAAAAGTATTTCTTTGAAAGAAGATCATAGGTTGCTTTGAAATTTTTATCTCTATTGGAAAAATTATTACTTTATGCCAACATCGCCATGTTCCACCAGAAAATCACACTTCTTTCAACAAAGATATCAAATTTCTTGGCCTTTCAACGACATCATTCGTTTGATTATATCATTGCGAAAATGAACCATTTTGAATCAAGAAAATATAATATCATCTCAAAATCCACCACCTATTTGAAGGGAAAAATAAACTGTTTCAAATGCAGAGCAATATCAACTTGATCTGAACACATAGTGTTTGTTTGAATTTAATACTGTATCCCTTCAAATAACTCAATTTGTTTATAACAAGAGTTTTGTGAATCTACATACAAAACTATATTATGATCGACTGAAAATAACAGGAATTTCAATTTGAAAAAAATTGTGGTGCTCCGGTCTTTCTGTGACCCTCTTAAGTGAGAGGGGAGCAGGAAATTCCGTTCTAAGCATCGCGTACGCGCCAGTATGTGTTGGAAAGTGATGTTGGTGTGTTGCGATTTTGAGGAGGAAGTGTTTTATGTGTCTGTAGGCAGTGCAGTTTCTTTCCGATTATTTTGTATCTACCATAATGGAACAGATTTTACAAGACTGGAAACTTGCACAGTTAAAAAATATTTTCATGGGTAAGTATTATAATTAGATAAAACTCCGGTATATCAGTAAGTACCGCGTTGCATACGTAGTACCGAAGAGAAAGTGGTGAACTTTGACGGCAACTCTTAATTTTGCCCTCATTTTCTGAAAATTATACCAATACTCCATAATTTTTCACACATGCATTATTACATTTGCCGAGCTCTGCGAGTGTATAATAATTTAAACTGAAAAATCCTCCACGTTGATTCAAATTTGCCAATCTCTTGTTTTGAACATACATTTTATCTTGTTTCAGATAAGAGCTTTTTCTCTGAATAAAATTTTATTTTCTCTTAGACCGAAATCATTTTTTATTGAAAGATAGAGGTACTTATAGTTTCGACAATAAATTATGCTACAAAATATACCAAAATAGGCACAAGTAGGTATAAAAAGCTTCTATATGTGACAGCTACTTTCTGATTTCAACATGTAAATATTTGTTGAATTCCGAAACGTCTTTGCTTTCTGTAATCACTTCAGAAATATTTTTATGTTTTTCTTTGGGAACAAATTGAATATACCCTACTCAGCTTCAAATTATTTGATAGATTTCCTTTAGGAATGTAAGAAATAGGTAGAAATATTACCAAACTCACTAGAGATGAAATATGAATTTCCAAAAACGTGAAAACAGTGAAACATTTTATATTTTTCATTGACCCTCTAATAATTATTTTGAAAGGCAATTTTTCTGTATAGACTTCTGTCCACTTCAAAGGATTTGAGGTACGTCTTTTGAATTGATTATTTATTTCTGATCAAATAATGTTTGAGCACCTTTTAACTTGCTAGGAATCGTATGTTAAATAATAAGACAGACAAGTTTAAAATTTTGAGGGTTGTCAGTGCAGGCGAACAACAATTAGGCTGGTTAACGGAATAAACCCACTCAAACAGTGTTTTATTGAAATTTTTTTTTTTTTGATTAAGTGGCTGCTGTTTTCATATTTTTACCTTTCTATATATTTGAGATAGTGGCTAAGGATGATGTGCTGATATCTTCTTTCGTTTCAGAATCCAAGTGATGTTTCGGCAATTGTGGACAAATACAGCAGAATGCAGAACTTGATCGATGATAGTGATTTTTTTAATGTTATTTACCAGAATGGCATCTAGTTTTAAAAACTTCATTTCTGTAAAATTACTAATAAATCAATTCATTTTCTTGTCTGAGTTGTTATGTTGTTAATAGGCTTCGATTTTATTTCATTTGTTAATTTGCAATTTGTCAAGAATATGTCCCTTTTTTATATATGTTTTCTTATTGAATATTTATTTCTGTTATTTGTATAATCGTATGATCTCTCAAAAGTGTGCGGTTGGAATATGATATTTAGGCAAAGATTAGCAAAGAAAATTTAGTTCTCTATTACGTTTTGTTTTTTATCACATGCCTTTTCAGGATAATATTTATGATTTGCAATTGCTTCAAATAAACCAGTGATAATATGTAATGCATTATTCATTTTCTTTCCTTGCCACTTATAGCTGATGATATTACAGATAAGATACTTTGGATCCAAATGAGAGGTACAGTTCATAAATAGAAGCATAAGTTCATCTTTGATGAAGTAAATGAGTTAATGTGATTTATACAAATACAATCTTTTCAATGAAAAATGCTTCTCTTCAAAGGAAAACAATTAATTTCTCATACGGAGACATTTAAATAATGTTCCAAGTAAACATATCATTTTTTCAAAAACCAAAACAGTTTTGCTTCGAGATTAAATTTTGCTCAGACTGAAGAAAGCATACTTACTTCTCTTGAGCTAATGTGATTATTTCTATTGAAATGTATGCACAATCTTGGTGGAATATTTTTTTTTTACTTAAATGAAGCTTTAATTCAGTCCATTTGAAATACTAATTCAAATTCAACTTGGGAGAATATGTTTCTCAGTTCAAAAAATATTTTTTCATGAATCATCAGTAGACAAATACACAAAAATAAAAAAAATTAAAGAAAATCGGTGAACATGGAACACAAACCCAAGGCTAGTTTGGAAGTGGTTCAATGACAATTGTCCAAACCGGTGGATAGTCAAACGTGGTCCCTTACAATGGGTCGCTGGATCACCTGATATAACAACCTCATATTTTTTGGGAAAATTCATGATACCAAAAGTTCACAACTGCAGTACTCATTGGTGAACTAAAAAGTACTTTCAACTAAATTACTTCAGATACATTTCATGAATTCGTATCGAGTAAGTTTTAGAATGATGCTGCGTGTTTTGCAAAACCTAACACTTCTGTTTACTTCAGAACATTTGATTCGATTTTCGAGAATAACCAGTATCGGATGGAGAATTGAAAAATGTAAACAAGGGGTCGCGAGACTACCTTATTAAATAAATGAATGGACCCCTTTCGATTTTTTTTTATCAAAAAACCACTAAAAAACAATGCTCATTTATGTGTTTGGGTTGGTATATTGGAAACCTCATTAGGAATTTGAATTCGAGCAGAATTAAGTAATCCGGGAACTTCAATTGGCAATTATCCAATTCATAATGTTGATGTCACTGCTTATGCTTTTGTTATACTTTTTTCATAGTTACACTCATTATAATTAGTGATTTTGGAAATTGACTGGTTCCATTAATACTAGGAGCTCCAGATACAGCATTTCCTGAAATGAATAATATAAGATTTTGATTGTTGAAAGAGATGTAAATTTGCTATTTGCTTCATTTAGTCGGAAATTCTTCTATTTCAGGTGTAATTAATTTAATCGCAACTGTAATAAAAATAGATCAAAAACATCCTTGGGCTGTAATAATTACCAGCTATTTAACTTCTTCTCTATCATCCTCTATTAGCTGAAGCCATAACTATGTTTTCAACTGATCTGAATTTAAATACTTCATCCTTTGACCCTTCAAGAGGAATATATCATATTGTTTAAAAACAATAATTTTGATTTCTTGAACATCCTGTAGTTAATATTATTATTCTTCCAGGAATTGGAATAATTTTCCATATTATCAGTCAAGAAGACAGAAAAAAATATCTTTTGGAACTCTGGATATAATTTATACAATAATAGCAAGTGGACTTGGTGGCTTTATTGTTTGAGCCCATCATATATTTACTATTGGTATTTATGTTGATATTCGAGCCTACTTTACATCGTGTACCAACAGGAATTAAAGTTTTCAGATGATTAGTTACCTTTCATGATACTCATATCCTCAGAAATCTAGCCATTTTGAGATGCCTAAGGTTTGTATTTCTTTTCACTATTGAATTAGGGGTCGCAAGACTACCTTTTCATTAAATAAATGAATGAACACCTCTTGATTATTGTTTTATCAAAAAACCACTAAAAACATTATGTTATTTTGTTTATCCGACCTGGTGATCTTGTCAAGTTGAGAAGGAAAACTCCAAGCTATGTTAGATATTTTTCATTTTTACAAACTAAAAATTAATGGAAAATACCATAAATATATCATTGTTGCTATTCATCTGTTCCAACGGAGGAAAAATCCGTTCATTGGTATTTTCTTAAACAAAAATTGTTTTAGAAAAACACGTTCTCATATTGGGTTGTTTCCACTCGCTGTTCGAATTAATAATATTTGTATTTGACACCTTCGCTAAATTTTGTGGAGCAACCAAACATCTAGAGATATTTTAGTGCATTCACCATTCCTTCTCATTCACCATTTATACTTATCATCATCTTCAATTTCTGAAGGCTTTGCCTTGTAGCTAAAATAGTCATTACTTCTTGACGTTTGTTCATTATTTCAGATCTGAATCCTAGTTATCCAATTCTGAAGAGTTTTTGAAACAGTCGTATATTCTTTTTTTCAATGATTTTTTCAGATAAACATCTAAAGGTTTTGGTTTTTCTGTATCACATCGCGCCTTGCGTTCATAAGGTTTATTTTCGACTATTTTACGTACAGTTGAGAAAGGAATTTCGGTCAAATCGGATGTTGCTTGTAATAGTTCGTTTCCCTCGAAAACAAACTTGAGATGTAGATTCTCATATACATTGAAACATACTCTCTGTGTTTCAATATTCAAATGCATCTGAATCTTACTCACTAGTATCTCTTTTTCGCATTTTTCACCATCGCTATTGGAATCACTACACTTGAAAAAGTCTTCGTTGTTATCACACTCGTGATAACATTTCAAACAGATAACCAAGATTTTATTTAATAATAACTGCATCAATATCGAATTTGAACACTCAAATCGCTATAAGTTCCCGAAGTGAACATTGATAACACGACGGCGATAACCATCCCCGCATTCTCTGATTTTCATTCGTCACCGTAACATGACTTCAAATTCAAAGTTATAACTCTTCAGCGAATCATAAAAGTCGGTTAGAAAAAATTAACCAATACGAACCGCCAAGTAATCAGTTCGCAGCCAGTTCATTTCCATGTATTGGTTTTTTTGGCCTTTCAGAGTGCCGCCAACTTCAAGTGTGCACAATATGTTTTATTTCGACTATACTTTTCGTTTTTCACAAGGAACGTGCCCATCATTCATTTCCTTGTATTAGTTTTGTATTCACTGGTATATCAACCCCCGAATCAACAATTCCTCTGTCAGTCAATTATTATTCTTGAATAGTAGTTTATTGAATGTAGGAGTTTTAAACTACTCGATCTGGTTTAAGTGTAATTACGACATTCTAACTATTTTCGCTCTGGGATACGGTGTCGATACCATTCACATTCTGATGGCTTTATGCATCAAGTGTGAACGTCTGGGGTATTGTTTGAATCTACAACAATAGTTGTGTTTCAATTGTTCAAGTTCAGTACGGAAATCTGACGTGTTGGAACTGAAACAATTTATTGACAATTCATTTGGTGATTATTTAAGTATTGAGTACATGCCGTCACGTCTGTAGAAATGGTAAAACATCATGGATGGATAGTGCAATAATCACGTCGCTGATATTGAAAATGATAATTCGTATTCCAATAAAAATAATAAATGCCGTAACTACCGACAAATGCAAAACTCAACTCATGTATGTGGTGAGTGGAAGCATTGTACCCTGATCATCTAAACTTCTAAACTTCCATATATTGTCAACTGCTAACCATCGTACCTCCTACAAGTGATCCTCTGAAGGCTTGGTTGAGAAAACGCGAAACGTTTCTTTTTCAACATGCCATTTAAAGAGTTGGTTCTGAATATCAATTTCATATCACACGATATCGAAAAGTAATCTGCCAAATATTTCCGGTTCGCTCAACAAAATAAAAACTGACCTTATAATAACTGACTTTAGATACTAGATGGAAGAATAATGATTTCCATAAGTAATAATAATTGTCGAAATAATTTTTCATTTCAACATTTCATTGGCTCCAAGCTCCAAATATCACAACGTTTCTACTCGGTGAAATGTCTCTTCCTAATCAACTTATCCACTATGGGAAGCGAAGGATATTCGCTTAAGTGAAATGGGTATATTTTCAGGAGAGATAATTTTTTAGGAAGAAAGGTTTTGGCTTTTCACTTTTTCATCTTCAGAAAAAAGTGGGAATCTGCCGAAGAAAGAAAGGAGCAATCGATTACAAAATCTATACAAGGATGTATAGATGATGCAGAAAATAACTTTCAGACACAAAATGGAGAAAAAATCCTTCCGAAACAGCTATTCTCATGTATACTTTCAATTGCACGAAATGAAAATAATTTCGAAACAAATACTTCTATATGAACATTGAATTATATGAAAATATTCTTCTGTATTCAGTTTTCATTCCAAACATTCATTATGCAATTGAATCAGATATTACTCACAGGATTGCTACACAATATAGTCAATAAGAGAGGTGGAATTTCACTTACATATAACACTGTCATCCTGACTGGTGGACATCCAATGTCAGCTCTTCAGCAACAAATAATCTGAAAAACATTTAAAGAAAAAACACTCAATTAATTCATAAAATTATGACTTTCTGTCACCAATGAGTTTAATCTACTCATGTCATCGATGACAGTACGTGTTGACATTCATTCGCTTATATTGAAAAAGGTATATTTTTAGGATGGAATAATTTTTGTCTTGTTTCAATTGTCTCATACTACATTTGTTCACATATTCAAGGAACTCTTCATTGTGAAAAATAAGGTTTTGGCTTCCTGTTTCATAGAATAGAGAAACGTGTTTTTGTATAATTTACTGCTCATATAAAAGTATTCGTTTCGAAAGTATTTTTGTTTCATGTAATTCAATGTTTATATGAAAGTAGCTATTTCGCGAGAACTCCTCTTTCATGTAGTGTATGAAAGTGTATTTTTTTGCATGATCTACATATATTTGTATAGAGTTTTTGAAAAATCTTGTTTCGAATCTTATTGTCAATTGTCAATAAATTAGAAATTTAAGTTTCACAACTTTTCCATTTATTAAGAATGGAAATGAGTCGCGTGTATATGGAATAGAATAACAGCAACTATTTCAAACAACAGTATTTTTGAAATACTAACGGATTATTTTTTCTCAGATGTTGTTAGTGCTGCATTCAAAACAATACTCCATATGGAGTTCTTCAGTCCAAGAAGAGTTGATGGGTCAAAATAAAACTATCAATTCCTAATTCAGTAGATGGCTGAGAGCGATTGAGTCGAGATTTCAAAACGAAAAATAATATGGAAATTGTTGAACTATAATTGGGTTGGATATTACTGGAGTTTTTTCCCCAACACCAAACCGTTATTTTAACACTTCGACACGTATCGAGGTGTTAAAATGAAGGTTTGGTGTTAGGAAAAACCTCCAGTAATATTCATTACTACACCAAAGAGTCCAAACAATGCATCACAAGTATATAATCAGGTTAATTGTGCTAGATTTCTTACAGGCGAAATGGCAATCTTTATATTTGTCATCTAAGTGAACAGTTTTCAGTACATATTGTCATATAAAAAAACCTCAGTTTTTCAAAGGCATTTCGATGTAAGCCCATTTAATTCATTATTTTTGTGAAAATTGTGACTGTAGACTTTCTTCAAAGCTATAACTTTCCTTTGTATGCATGGAATTTGAAACAAAATATCCAGTGATGAATGACTGACATATCATTCTTGAATTCATCTTCAACTTCTTTGTACACGAACTCACTATTGTTTCTGAAATTCTCTCAAGTAATTTAACAAACTTGCCTAGGAAATAAGTTCTGTCCGACAATTACTTCGAGACACGTGTAGCCACAGAAACACATATATGAAACATATTACTTACACTTTGTTTCATTCATCATTCGAAGGCATTCCACGTTAGTCATTACGGTAATGAACTTTCGCAATATATCTTAGTTTACGCCCGTATAGGATTTGTATTGAACCTTTGATGAAGTTCGTTCAACCATTATGTCTTTGACTAAGTGATGAATGCGGTACATTTTTCATATTATCTGCTCCAACTATCAAGACAAGACGAGTTCACATAATGGAAAGAAATGGTTGGGAGTTTCCCCTTGATATGTTTATGGTATGAGGTTTCGATTTTTTGAGCGAAGGATTATTCAACCAAGATTTATTCAAATTCCAATGAAATCACCGACTTCAACATAACACATAACGACAAAAATATTGAAATATTCATCAAGATATCCTTGATTTTATCGAGCCTTGTACCAACATTCGAGCCAGTACCAACAGACGACGTGTTGATGACTAAAACTGAACCGAAAAAATTATTTTTTGCGTTCGCCGATTATTTTGTGGAATTGGCCGCGGTGGTAGTGCGCCCGACTCACGATCGGAAGGTCGTGTGTTCGATTCCCGCCTTGACCAGATATTTTTCTCGAGATAATTTATCTGGTTGAAGCTGGAATGATTCTGCAATAAGAGTTTTGTGAGAAGAGTTTTCTTTAATATATCGGTATCCACAATCGGTTATCACCCGAAGATGATTGTGGATACTAACAAGCGAAACGTCGTGAAGTAACTTGGTTTGGAATATTTTGATTTTCATTTTTTGTTTATAATTTTTTTTATTTTCATCTCGTGTTAATAGTTTTTTTTTTATTTCTGGTTGTTTCTTGTATTTCATTTCGTTGTAATTTCAGTTTTTTTTTGCTTAATATAATTGTTATTTTTCAGTTGATTTTTTTTTATTCTTTACAGATTCTTTCAGGTATTTCAAATCAATTTATATAATATTAGACAATGAAAATTCGAACTGATGAATTTTTCTGGTATTGTTTTTTCAATATGTAATATTTTCTTCAGTATCCGTATGTATTTATGTGTTCAGATATAATTGTTAAATGTATGTGCACATATATTTTTGATCAGTATTCAAGCTATTTCAATATGATTTGTACTCTATATGTATGTATGTATATGTATGTATATATGTATATGTAGTTGTATGGTGACTAAAAAACAATTCAGTTTTATCAGTAAAGCATATTGTTAATAGTAATAATAATTATGGTATTTGCCGGCATATAGTAAAGTATCAAGTATGCTTGAATGTTGTTCAACCCTCAGTCAACTAGGGATCTAGTTGCTAGGGATGTTGCCCCATACGGGTGGTATGGGGCGACATACCCCCAAAGTCGTACATGTTGAATTATGAATTTTTGAATTACTGATCAATTAAAGAATCAAATAGAAAATAGGTATTGGAAAATTACTTTGTAGTAAGTCATCCAAAAATTTGCTGAAGGAAATTTTCTCTACTCATTTGAAAACGCATAACTGAAACATTTAAATTTCTCATACTGCCACTTGGCAGACCCTTCGCGATTATAGAGAGCATAAAGAGTAACCTGAAAGTCTGACTTCCTGCAAATACCATGAAACTTTTCAAGTTAGGCATCTTTTCAACGTAATGGAGTCATGAAAAATTCATTATCATTCCTAGAGCGACTCCACATTCACTATGATTATAGAGTTCTATCGATGATTACATCGATGATTACAAAGAAAATATTGACACAATTATCTAACTCATCTGAAATATTATAACCAGATTTGCCAATAAGAACAGAAGACTTTCATTTGTCAAATTTCAAAAATGTATCCCTCATTCAATAAAACGTCCAGAAGTTCCTACAATTGCTGTTCAGAAATTGTGTGTTGCTGTTTTCTTTTGCAATCAAGCATTTTCCTTTCTTCTGACAGAAGGACAATATCTTTGAACCGATTGAAACTCTTTCCATTCATTTCTTTCAATCAATTCCATACATTTTTCGCAAAATATAAAAATCCTTTGTGCCAAAAACTGAATACAATTTCCCTCTTTGGATACATACATGGAACTAATAATTTCTCTCGCCCCAAAATTTATCTCCCAGCTGCCAAATTCCTGATGATTTGAGAATGATGAAATGAATATTTTATTCGTTTATTGATCGAAATATGAAAACAATCGATGAGCGATTTCTTAGAATGAACAGCACCAGTATTTCACATTATTCATTATCTGAGGTGGCTGATAAAGCTGGAACTTTTTCTAATCTGAGACCTATGAACTATTCCAATCATGAGCTCAATGTCCTGTAGACCAAATCCTTGACACCAGAAAGCATCGTTGTTATCTCTTGGATAATTTTTACCCTTCTGCTGCAAACCATTTTCATCAAAACTTCTACAACTACAGCTGCTCACATTAAAAAAACAAGACATGGCCCAGGCCTTGAATAACAAATGAATAAAGAATGACATAAAAGTGATTTCCTGCAAATACCACGAACCTTTTCAAGTTAGGTATTTTCATTGATGAATCTTCTCAACGTAATAAAGGCATGAAAAATTCATTTCTATTTCTAGAGCGACTCTACTTTCGTAGAAATGCTTCAAACTCATGAATTTATTACCAAAAAAGATTATAATCTCAACATATTTTTTTATTCAAAGGATTACTATTTTCATTCGAAAAAACTTTCGTCAAAAAAAAGAATTGTTTCAATCGACACGTTCCACACGTCCAATGGTATTTCAAATGGAAATAACTATAATCTATTGATGACGTGGCAAGTATTCATTTTGTACTGTTTTCTTTAGTTTTACATTTTCAGCAACAAATGAATTCATAAGTCGCAACTTATATAAATCACGATTTCATTCAAAGTCTTCTTTTTGTGTATATCATTGTTTTTCGTCTATTGTCATTTTGAGGGTAAAAGTTCATTTCACGACGGATGTTTGTTCTCTCGATTACTCTCAGCAGCTAATAATTGAGTAGAAACGAACAAAAGCAAACAATTATCGGCGAAATCTTTTTCGTTTTGTTGGTGAAGAACTTAGAGCAACTACGGAAAATAATTAATGGAGGATTTTCGAGTTGGCCGCCCACAATATAATGATAAAGACATTATTAGAATTGCCTTTCAAATCACTCTGCTATGTTGAGATTTAATTAAAAAGGTTGAATTCACAATACTAAATATTCAAAATCTTTCCGTTCGAATCGTAGAAAAGTCTATTGCAGTCAAGGACGTAACCTAACCTAACCTTTCTCGATTTCATATCATTTCTAATAACATCTGGATTCGTTTTCCGATGACATTCCAGGATAGCTTTTTAAATATCTGCTACCGCAGTTAACGGTTGATTGACACTGACATAAAAACTTGACAAGTCGACTTGTCACACCGATAAGTGGTTCCAATTATATCTCGCTCGCGTTTACGCAGTTATATTTATCAAGTATTTTTCTTGATTATTCACAATTGTTTCCATTACCAGGGATACTACAAAATTGTGCGTGTATGTATAGAGATTTAAGATAAAAATGGATGGTTTGACTTACAGCTTTGTTCAGAATGTTTCAAACGATGTTGTTGGTAAAATACATTTACATGAAATTAGTAAAGGATGTCTGAATTTTGATAAAATACGTTACAGTTCAAAATCATCAAAAGAGGATCTTATCCTCACGTTGAAATTCACAAGTCGTCTCTATCGGTTGGGCCTGACAGACAATTGACATGACATAATATATCAGTGGCAATAATGATAATAGTTGTTACCAACTTCAATATGTGTGTTCGTAATTGCCTGAGAGGTTTGGAATGTATGAGAACTGACGGCTTACATATGGACATATAACTGGTAGTCTTCATGATCTGATAATTAGGATTCATGAAAAATTAAAGAATTTCTTGAGACTTTTCCACCCGTGGGTAGAATTTTCACTGAATTAAGATAATAGCATTTAAATTAATCTTATTGAGTGCATTATTATTCTGATTCAAAATCAAAATTGTATAGATTCATTGAGAAATTGTTATGTAGATTATTGTCCAACGTCAATAGGTAGAAATATATCTCACTGAGATGATCAATATCTGTTTTTCTAATAATACAATTTGTATTTTCAGCAATGAAGCCCATTTCGAAAAATGACCTCTTTGTTGAATGTGGTTCACTAACTGAGACTTTAGTGGTATCAAAATTCATATTGTGGTTATGTTTGTTCGGATAGCACGCATCTTTTCGGATGGTGTGTACAATTATTTTGCAAGAGGTTATTCTGGAGCTTGAAGCTCATGAAGTTTGACCAACATAGTTTTTGTTACACGATTACCCTATAACTTATTTTGTCAAAATTTAGACATCCATTTCCAATTTTATATAAATATACTGTACCAATGTTCGTCCAACACTATGTGCCCAATATTTTACATAACCATCGTTACAACAAAGTTGTAAGTTAAACCATCTATTTATATCTTGATATTACTTACACCTATCATTTTGTAGCATCCCTGATGATGAAAACAATTCATTAAGTTTTCGAAAGCTTTGACAAACTTTATGTATATAGTGTGACCCACTTGAAAGCGGAACACCTCCCTGAAATTTGCATTTTTTTCCGATTTCGGAGAACTTTATTTTCGATTGTAGACCACAAAAAATTATACTTTGGGACCAAACATCATTTTTGCTACAGAAACCAAAGCCTGCTGTGAATATTTTTATAGGTAAAAATACAAGAAATCGTATTATCGATTTTGTCTGGGAAAATTTAAAATCACTATTGGACTGGTCACCCTCTCAAATAGTGGTATACGAAAATTTCAATGTTTGTAAAGCGGTAGGAATTAATGATTCTTCGTTGGAAAACTAAAAGTGCGAGATAAAATTGAACTTGTGCTTCTTGTCAGAAATGATGCTCTTCCGGCAAGAGAAGCTGCCAGAGAATTTCGTAACAGACTACCTTATAAACTTCCAGTGAGCAGCAGTTCGGTGAACCGTATGAATTCTTTTATTAAAGGAATAGAGTGTATATCGAGGCATATGCTCAAGAAACAGAAACAATCCATATCGTGAGAATAGAAATGCGAATATTTTCGTAATAATCCTCATTCAAGCTTGCGAACGGCTAGTTTGAACTTAAATATCTCTAGAGAAGATATCAGAAGTTGCCTTGTAGAAAATAAAATCAAACCATTCGAGCCAAAATTTTTACATTTTACTGGCAGATTAAGAAAGAAGGTTAGAATTCTGTTTGTGGACTCAAAAATAATATTTGAATGGTTGTATGAACTTCATCAAAACAATTTAGTTCAGTGATGAATGTGTAGTGTGGAATAATCTTTGATAAGACGTCATACTAGTTTTAAAGAGTTAAAATTTGGGTAATTTCAATGGTAAGTTCAATAGTTTTCGAACAAATTGTGTATGGACCGACCATTCATCAATAACGCATTAAATTAAATGAAAAGACCAAGTTACATGCCCAGCGATTACTGAAAAGTAAAAAATAAATTGAGAGTAAAAATAATGTTCAACAACACAAAATATTTCTGCTTTATTTCTACAATGTTTGTTCATGATCTTTTTCGGCTTTTTGAGATTATAGGAGTGAAATACGTTCGTTTCTGATAAACTAGATCCACTTTATCCGTCTACAGTCCATAAAAACAATTTACGATTCTTTCACGATCTGAATACTGCATTTTCGATATGCGAAACCCCACATAAAATATAAAATAAAGAAAGTGAATGGAGGATATTTATGGAAAAAATAAAATCCGTTCCGAGGGTAGAAAGCCTCCTGATTTTATCTTGGAACGATTGACCGATGGAAGGCTTGTTAGAAAAAAACCGTTCGAATATTCTGACACTAGAAAAGTAAATATATTCCACGGAAATCGAGTCCCAACTCTATGCATACTCAACGAGAACGGAGCAGCTCAGTACTTCAAGAATCGTAAATTGTACTTTTCGAAATAATCACTAAATAACCCCACACGGAATGCATGGAAAGGTCGATTTATAGATAGTTTCAGGTGTTAGCAAACACATAACCTCAATTAATGAGGCACTATTTTCTTTGAAATACAATTTTGTTAATGTTACCATCCAATTGTTAAAAATGTTACATACCCGGCAAACAATAATTAATAATTCAGAAGAGGATGAACGATATCAGATTTAAATGTGGGGCAAACAGAAATTTTATCAACTGAGATGAATGATATTGGGAGTATGACCGCGAAGTTTATAAAATACCGAAACCTTCACCAAAAAAGTAAGGTCATCTTGAGGGAATCTCTTTGAATTAAATTCATAATTTTGCCAAGCCAACAAGACTATACGTATTGTGATGAATAGCAAGCACACCATTTTCTGAGCATTCTCCAGGTAGTGACACGATAAAAGGGTTTTGTGACTCGATGCCTTGGTCTCAATCTGCCTACTCTCCAGATCTCGTCTGAACGTCGACTGTGAGTCCACAGTCTTTGGTCTGGGAGAGTGGATGGGTGAAGCGCTGGTGGGAGCGGCTCACTTTGTCAGCAACTCCATGAATATAAAGAAGAAAAACTTTTAGGTGGTTCTTCTGTTCATCGGACTACTTGAGATGTGGGGTACAGGTTTGCTGAAATTGGATGGATCTTTGGATTTGAGATTCTGGATAGTCGTTTTGGCCAAGGGCGTTTTGAGTTCGTCTAGTTCCTTAGATCTGTTGTGGCTATCAGTTAGTGTGATAGACCTATGTATGAGAGAATTCGAAATGGAATTCAATTGGGCAGGATGATGATGGACTCAGCATTGACGTAGCGATTAGTATGACTTGGTTTTCGGTAAACAGTGTGTGGGAATCATTGGATTTTGTGATGATGATGTCCAGGAAAGGAGGTGAGTTGTTGTTTTTGACTTTCATTGTGAATTTCAGATCGACATGTGATAGGCTGAGGTGGTTTAGAAATGTATGAAGATTTTCAAATCCATGAATACATGAGCCCATGACGTCATTTACGTATCGAAGCCAACGCGTATGTTCAAGTTAAGACATCTCAATGGCTCTGGTTTCAAAGTCTTCCATGTAAAGGTTTGTAAGGACTGGAGACAGTGGGGAACCTAAGGAGGTGGCTTCCCCTTGTTCGTAAAGTTCGCACTACAGAAGGAAATAGGTGCTTGATATGTAGTGGCGAAGGGTGAGTGTTTTGAAAAATTACGTGTTTCGTTTCGAGGATGGATGAGGTTTCGCATAGTAGGATATTCGTGAAATGAGATACTACGTCAAAGCCAACAATGATATATGTTTGTTGTATATTGGATTATTTTAGGATTTCAATGAAGTGAAAGGAATTTTGATCATATTATTTTCGGCTAGTAGTTGTAGATTATTAGCAAAATGTTTGGTACGGGCGTGTGTGAAGGATTCGAAGGCACTGCTGTTGGGACGAAGTAGGATGTTTGATTAGTGTATTTATGGAAGATCGTATAAACGAGGTATCTGAATGGTTGAAAAGATTTCAAGTGGTCCGTTTTCTTCGTTTTACCTGGATAGAATAGCTAACAGTTATCGACCTGATGGCCTCAGCATTTGTAGAATTTCTCATTCCCAAACCAGTCCGGTATGAACAAGTTTTCAGGTCTGCCATATAAACTGTTCAGTTTGTTTTCAGGGGTTTCTGATAAGATATGATCATAGTATGAAACTTTCTAATTCCACTCAGTATACTCGTCGCCTTCGCTTGGATTCAAAAAACAATACATATCGTGTGGTAAATGTATTGCATCAACAAGCTACAAAAAATTCACAAATGAAAAAACTCCTTTCACAAATACATCAATTGTTCAACAAGTTACAACAATAAAACATTCACTAAAGATTTTATGTATACGTTGCTCCAAATTGCGACACCTTAAGTTTCAACTCATCATGAGTTTCAAAGTGTTAGTGGGAGATTTTCATTTCAAACATAACATCAGTAATTAGCACGCACATTCAGAGAATTGTGCCAAGCAATTAATCATCTCCCAAGTTTAATCTAGAAGATCATCTGTTTGTTTGCGTGGAGTTTCTGAGACCTATTCATGGACGAAATTAGGTTGGAAAAACGTCCAAGTGACATTGTCACAGTTGGTGGTACACGCCAGATTTCTAGATAATGAAACGGATAATTCAGATTTACAGCTGTCAGTGATAAAATTGTATGTTCTCGTGAATAATTGTTTGATTATATATGAAGCATAGTTGATAAATATTTCCAAAAATAAATACAGATGTTAGTATTATTCATGAAACAATTTGTGTTTCATATAAAAATAATGAATGGAATTTCTAATAAGTTCAAGAGCCTTCGGGAATTTAACTTGAACTCATATTAAATCAATATTGCAATCAACTATTTCGTGAATTTAATTTCTGCGGATGGAGTTGAAGTTGGCATGGAAGTGCTCAAATTTGTTTCAAATTTTTGGTGTGGTTCACTTTCATCCTATTTTCATCTCTACTAAGAGTATTACGCTATTCAAATCCAGTTGGTCATTCATTAGAATATTTGAATTTTTAAGTTTATTGATTTCAATTGCTTCCAAATAATTCAATTTGAAACCTTCATTTTCTATTGTAAAATTTCGAACTCTTCGTTAAAGATATGATTTTCATGAT